TCACTGAAAGTGCATAGTGCGCTGGGCAGCCATCATGCTGAAACCACATGTCCCTGTAAATACTCAGTGGTACGTCCTCCAATAAATTTTCTAAATGATTTTGCAAAAAATCTTGCAAAAAAACGTGCTCCATCCATACCACGTACAGCGTGTTCAACCTCTCCTGCCCCGGGATTATGAGCCCCGAGTTGCTTTTTGTCGCACAATGTTAGAAAGACAAAGGGAAGATCCGCGGTTCTTTGAAAAAATTTTATGGTCGGATGAGACCACATTTAAGAAATATGGGTACATGAACCTGCATAACTTACACGAGTGGCACGTAGCAAACCCACATTTGATGAGAGAACATAAATCTCAATATCGCTTCAAGATAAACCATTGGACAGGAATTTTAAATGGTAAAATAATCGGTCCGTTTGAGTTCCCAGAGACTTTGACTGCTGAAGTTTATTTGGATTTTTTGAAAAATCATGTACAAAATTTATTGGTGGACGTGCCACTGAGTATTTACAGGGACATGTGGTTTCAGCATGATGGCTGCCGAGCGCACTATGCACTCTCAGTGAGAGATTATCTCGATCAAAACTTTCCAGGCAGATGGATAAGGCGGTCTGGTACAATACCGTGGCCAGCCCGATTACCTGATTTGAATCCTTTAGATTTTTTTACTGGGGAACTGTAAAAGAAAAAGTGTATTTCAAGCCGAATCAAAATGTAGCTGAGCTACGGCAAAGACTATTGGTAGCAGCTGAGTTTGTTAATAACCGTGGATTCGCTCGTTTAATAACCCGATCTTTTTTAAGAAGATGTTGAGCGTGTATTGCGGCTGAAGGGACACAGTTTGAGCATTTGCTGTAAAGGTAAATCATCATCAGCAGCATTTTGACGCCCACTGTTGTGCAAACAGTTATCCTTAAGGGTCCTTGTGCGTTTTCATAATCGCTGTTTAATTAGGAAATTTTGAAAAATTTTCATCAGTTTTTTTTCAAATAAAAATTGTGCATAAGTTAACGAGTAATCTTGTAAGTGTTATACCATTTTGGAATCGTTATTAAATGCGCCAACTTTTAAGGTTACTTGCCAAACTCTCGTAGTACATTTTTTTCCAGTACAGTCAGTTAAAGTTGAGCAAAGTTTTACTTTGGAATACTTGGTTGGGAAATAAGTGGAAATTTTTCCTGAACGAGAAAAGTTGGCAGTAAGGTTGAGACACCAGTTTGAAGATGCATTATTCATCATTACATTGTAAAAATAAAATCCAAAAAAAGTTAATATTTGTAGTAACAGGAGTTGACAGACTGCCGTAGGGTGTGAAATTTCTATATCTTTTTCAAAGACCTATAATTTTCAAAACACATACATAAAATTTTTTTAAATATTTTTCTGATAGCTGTTATGACTTTGCCTATCACCCGGTCTCGGCTTGACGTCGACTTCTGGGACACCCTATAACTAACACAATACAGTCATCTTGTTTACTTACATATCGGCCATTGTGAATTTCATACACAGGTATATGATAAACTTCTACACTGTGATATAGGGCTATTGAATTACTTGCGCAGCAAATTTGATTGTGATTATCGTGCAGAGTAGTTACGCAAATTCTACGGGCTTCGTATTTGATTCATATTTTGATAATGATCAAAAGTATGTCTGGATTTTTAAGATGGAAAAGTGAACTTATCTGCGTTAAATCTTCCACAAATCCTATATTTAGACACAATTACACTAATGTTTATCACTTTATATCTGTAATTTCGAACTGAAACATAATTATTTAATATCAAATAGAGGAATAAATGTTTGCCCAATATGGCGGGTGGTTGTGTATAATCATGGCATGGTCCATGTTGTCTTTAGGTTATTAGTTTATTTTGGTGTTGCCTGCAAGTGTTATACAACAATTTGACAAAGGTCTGAAATGAAATACCGACAGAGTCGAATGATTCACCCAAAATTTGTACCAGATCTATATCCTCTGTTTGATCAGTTGATAAAACATTTTGAACCAATATGCATGCGTTGTTTGTCTTAAAACATTGGTTATGGCATTTTAACTAAAATATGACAGCAGAAAGTTAGGTTAAGGTGAAGTTGTATACCAACATATTTAGTTACTAAACAACAGTTGTATAAGTGCTTCCGTTGGGAGCAATTTGTTGGCTAAAGTAAATTTGCACAGCAAAACAACAAGGTTCGGGTTTGTTTTATAAACGTTACCATGGATGCCACAACACAACCATTTTAACTAACCTGCAAATATGCCGTATAAAAAAGTTGTATAAACGTTTATGCATCAGTTAAAAATTTGTGCTATAAGGTGTTGTGCAACTATGCTATAAGAATATTTTAAACACCTCATTTTAGAGCAAATATGTTGCAGAAACCAAATTTGCATTCCACTCAACATTAAGCCAGCATTTTGGTGTTCAGTTCAACAATAGAGAGCTTTTATGGCTGAACGGTTCTTTTACCAAAAGCTTATAGCACTACTTTGCTAGTTGGGAAGGTTACTACGAGTACTATTCCAATGATGAAAAAGCTTTGTAGTTTTTGAATATCGGTCTAGTGGTGGTAGAGAAAAACACGAAAAAAATAGAAATGGCTTAAGCTTCGTTTTTTTTGATGTTTCAGAGGCTTCTAATCATTTTCAGAATTTTTTTTGTAGGGGTTGGGGGCTGTAAATGTAACGTCTTTAGTATTAGTCAGAGACGTTAATAATACTGTAGAGTGTGGATAACAAACTCTATCTGGTCTGTGGTAGAGTCATCACTAACATATCGCTACAGGAGAGATATTTATACAGGTGTCCAAATAGTGTGTCAAAGATCAATATCTTCATTAATGTTAGAGTGGCAGAAAAAAGTTAAATATAAAAGTTATAATTTTTAAATTATTTTCCGTTATACAGTCTCATAAATTAGTGTCAATATAAACTTATATTTTTCTAAATGATTTTCCTTGCCAATATATGGCCATTTTTTCATTGATGTCATTATACATTTAACTTCCCGTATCTTAAACAATAGTTTAGATAAAATCTGTTCTATTATACTGAGTGATGGAAACAGTGGTAGACATTCATATCGAATGTTTTTTCTGTACACATTTCATTCGAGACATACACTGGATTCAAAACCGAATGATGTAATTTTATCAATAAATTTAAATCAAACACCCTGTGTGTTATAACTGTATTCAACGCATCTCGTAGTGGTCTTCTAGTTTTATTGAGCATTGCCTATACCTAAACCTACCATTTTTTAAGATATTCCATGTTGTAGAAGTGAAAACCATAATTTTGGAATTATTAGCGAAATATCCGTCAGTTATGCTATTAATAAAATGAAAAAAATCTAAATATGTCCCTGAGTGGTTAAAATAATGGAATTAAACACTTACATACAACGGCTACTGTAACAAAAAACATATACTTATCTCTGCTAAAGAACCTTAATAAAATTAAAAATAACAACTGTGTAACAATTACGATAATGATAACTAAGTGGATTTATCTACTAAATTAATTGTTCAAAGTGCCCACCACCAGCATCAGTACACGCTTGCAACCGCCGTTTAAATGATTCGGCGACTTTTCTTAACATTTGGTGGTTAATGATCTGAAAAACTTCTCGTATACTGTCTTGCATATTAGCTCTGGTCGTAGATGGAATCTTATTGTCTTCTTGTTTAACGTAACCCCAGTCCATTTTCGTTAAGTCGGGAGACCTGGGTGGCCATCTGACTGGCCCTGCTCGTCCTATCCACCTCTGAGGGAATTTAGTATTTAAATAATTCATTATTGTTTGTGTGTGATGTGGAAGAGCTCCATAATGAAGAATCCACATTCTCTACTTTACACGTTCTGGTATATGTCTTGATAGAAAAAGTCCAGATAAACTTGTCCGTTTAATGTAGCATTGAAAAAATGTGGCCTCATAACAAAAATGCCAATTATGCTACCCCAGACGTTTAATGACCATCTTTCCTGGCTGTGCGCTAGCATTTACATAGGGCTGATGGCTGGCATAATAGTGGAAATTGAGCCTGATAGCACATCTATTTTTATGGAAAGTTGATTTGTCGGCGAACAGAGCATTTTCAAAAAAATCTTGGATTTTTTTCTTGTGCCTAGCAACAAAATGTCAGCCGTAATCGTTTTCGCTTAGCTCTTAGTGCAACTGTATATGGTAGGGGTGCATTTTATTTTAGTGAAATATATTGTGCACGGATGATTTGTTAATGTCTAAATCTTTTGAAATACGCCAAACACTTATATGGGGATCTTTAGTTTCGCGGAGCTTAACTTGAAACACATTCTCTTTCCGTAAAACTGGTTTCACCCTTTCTTTCTTCTCATATACCACACTTCCTGTACGCTCGAAACCCTCCTTAAGATTATCGAGAGTTTTCTTACACGGTTGTCTTCTATTTGGGTGACGTTCACTGACGCTCCCGCGGGCAGGGGGGGTTAAAGGGAGTAATTGCTCCCCCAGACGACTCGAGCAAGCTTTGAAAAGGTGCTATAAAGTAAACGTCTTATAAAAAAATATGTAACTTTAAGAAAGGATAGCGGCAACACTACCAACCGGCTCAGTGCGCATGCGACTAGCGACTACTGTCCCACCAACAGCAACGGTGTGCGCTTCTTCCTGTTGGAACAGGTGTAGTCTAGTCTTTTATGGTCTAGTCTAGTGTCTTAATTCTGTACCAGTCCGGAGTCCGAAATTTAGCTGAGAAGTGATCAAGCGGAGTTTTATTGATATGGTTGGTATTAACACTATTTTCTATGTTCTATAGATTTTTTATTTTCCACGCATAAGCCAGAAAATTAGTTTTTGTTTGTTTTTAATTTTTATACTATAAAAGAATCGTGTCTAAAAAATGACAGACGGAAAAATGGAAAGTAATTGCGTTCTTAAAGCATCCGCTGAAAAAAATACAGTATTAAAAAGAAAACTAGACGGATATCAAATGGACAGTATGTGCGAAACACGATGGCCGAGAGTCATGATTCTGTGCTCCAATTTAAAAGCAAATTCGAGGAAATTGTAGAGATACTAAATATTATATCAAATTGGAAAGACCGCGAAGCTTCTTCAAAAGCGGAGTCTTTGAAGACTGCCATTACTTCCACCCAATTTATCGTATTACTAAAGTGTTTGTGTGATATATTAGCTTTAACAGTCAACCTGAGTGAGATTTTACAATCAAATACAATTGACAATCGATACGCTGTCAATTTCATAGGAAATATTATTTCAGTTATACGAGACGCTTTAGAATACTATTCACATCTATAATGAAATCCTGGGTATTGAACTGAGTGTGCCAAGAATAACAAGCAGGCAAATGAACAGACCGAACATAGTTACTTCTGACAAGGAAAATCATTTTCAGATTGAACCTATATGTCTCTTTGCTAGATAATATATTACAGGATTTGGTATACCGGTTCAATGAAGAATCTTTGAATATATAAAATTTTAATTTTTTTTTGCTTCAGTATTTAATTCAAAAACTGGAGCTGAAGTAATGGACATATTAGAAACAATCTCTAAATATTTGCATGGTCTAAATAGTAACGAAAAAAAAAAATTAATAACTACCAGATTAAAAACAGAAATTGACCTTTGAAAGTCACGTACACATGATATTATAGAAAGTGGAATTTCACTGTTTTTATCATGTGATGAAAACATTTTTCCTTCAATTAATAGATGCCTACAATTGTTGACTTCATTGAAGGCAAGTGCTGCGACATCTGAAAGAAGTTTCTCCCATCTCTAGAGGATAAAAACTTTGCTGCGCTCCACTATGTTACAAGAGCGATTAGTGGGTTCAGCTCTTTTGTACATGCATAGGGATCTTAAAATAGACGTGAATACAACCATAGATCGGTTCGCCAGCAAAAAGAATAGGCGCCTTGATTTTGTAATATGATAACACCTGAAGTTGGCCTAAGGTTGTCTCTCAAATCCATCTCCCTTCTATTGGCCAATAAATAAAAAAGCAGATGTAGTTAAGGGTTTGCTTACGTTTAAGCCACCACTGTGATCTGTTCCAAACTATCCAATCAAGACATGTGTTTTTATTTATTGGCCAGCAGATTGATGTAAAAGTCTGTTCAAATCACTTTATAAGCTAATGTAATGATTGTTTTATTTTGAGACTGTGAACTGATGTAGTTTCATAGTTTATATGTTTTTGTTTTTTGAGACTGGCTAAGAGGATGTAGTTATGCAATGAATGTTTTTTGTGCTTTTCTCATGATTAAGTATTTTATTTTGATTTTTATTCAGTTTTATACTTTATAGAAGCCGTAACATATTTGTTATTGTTATTTTTTTCATGAAGATGTATTTTTTGTTGTTTTGTCTGACACTGTTATATAGAAAAGTCTGTGATAAAGTATGTTATATTGCATTTTTGTTTTAATATATGAAGATTGCTCGAGGTTGGTTTGCTTTATTTACACTTTGATTTCATATGATTCAAAATTTAAAAAAAATGTATGTATTTTCTACAGAAATTACTGTAACAAATTCATATGTCTGCATATGTCCATGCTTTTAATGTTAAATCATTGTAACACGTCAGTACGTCACATTAAGAATTTACTTTCCATTTTACTTCTCGCACGCTGAAATCCTGGGAGCGCCACTAGTGACGCTGATTATACTATCTTATCGCCAATAAAGAATTTTCATCATAGCGCATAAATCATATCAACCATTTCCTGTGTTAGAAAATTCATTTCTTTTTTCTAAGCGATACTAATACAAGCAACACTTTAATACTGAAGTTTATGATGACAGGTTTGTCAAAAAAGCATGGCCGACCTATATTTCCCTAATAATTCCTATATTATTGTTTTCACCTATAAAACATGCAATATCTCAAAAAATACTAGGTTCAGGTATAGGGTATAGTGAATGTTTAATAAAAATGAAAATGCATCAAATTTTTCGAGAATATTGCATCTTTCCGTTTTGACTCACCATGTACGCCTCGGATGAAAAATGTACGTTTCCATCATAGATTTTATCTAAAGTGCGTTAAGATACGGGAAGTCAAGTGTATAATGATTTTACCGCAAAATTGGCCATATATTGCTACTAATTTATGGAACACCCTGTATAGCCAAATATTTTAGGTTGTAGCCCTTAGCTCTACCTACAACTGTCATATTTAAGTTTCTTGCAGCTCTTATAGTAACGGGGAGATTGAGCTTTGACACACTATTTGGACACCCTATATATTTTACCAACATTTGGATATTAGGAGTACGTACCACTTTAGCGTTCTGCGATGCTTTTGTGAATGATGAATTAACTGTTTTTATATCTACACATACATTTTTCTGAATTTCCGCCTAAACTTTAGTTTGTGTTACTCTGTCTATGATAGTTATTTAAATATTTCGCCAATTAGATTGAATCATTACTTAAGACGCATTGATAGAAAACACTTACGAGCTGACAAACCGACATAAATGAGAATCATGGACTTGTGAGATGCAGACATCTTTAAGCAATAGAAAACTTGTGAACCGAAGTTGGAATATTATCGCGAGTTTAATATTCCCATCGTGTAGCTAGTTGTAGATTTTGAAAATTCATTCAGAGGCGGCGGAAATAAAACCGATGGAACATAGTGTTCAACGTTTCAGAGATTCCTGTCCATTTTCAGATATTGTTTGGAGAGGATGAAAATTGTAAGTTAGAAGCTGTATGCGGTAAATGGCTGTGAATTTTTGAATATTTGGTGTTAGTGAAAGACCTTCTACTATACTAAGTGACATATGAATCCGAACACCCAGTTTAAATGGTTTTATTTTAATAAAAGTTGGTGAATGTATTTATCTCACTGTAAATAACAAGTGAAAAAATTTTCAGCCTTATCAGTTGGACATTCCGGTTTTTATACTGCTTTTTTTTAATTCATTAACGCTCTAAAAATGAATATTTCAGCCGCAGTAAAGAATCAACGTTGGCGGATTTTGGTTCTTGACATCCTTTACGATCGGTTACGATGCCTAGAGTACGGAAACCTGTACGATTTCGTCAACTTAGTGAGTTTGATAGGGACCGTATAGTGGGACTTCGGGAAGCTGGACTTCATTTTCGGGCAATTGCAGTTAGAGTGCAAAGAAGTGTAGACACTGCGGTTAGGTGTTGTCAGGCATGGCTTCGAGAAGGCCGTACGCAAAGAGCAAGGGGCACTGGTCGGCGCCGTAGAACAACAGACCGTGAAGATCGCCGCCTAAGATTATTGGCCTTAAGGGACCGTTCCTCCACTACCAGGTCCATTGCAAATGAATGGTTTGCAGAACACGGAAGACCTATTGGCATGCGAAGTGTTTACCGACGAATGAGAAGTTTTGGCTTGCTTTCATACCGGCCACACTGGGTCCTCCCTTTAACTCGAGAACACCGACGTAATCGCCTTGAGTGGTGCAGACAGCGGTCACTCTGGGATCAGAAATGGAACAGTATTGTCTTTAGTGACGAGTCTCGATTTTGTTTAGGCATGCACGATGGTCGTGCCAGGGTTAGAAGGCGACGTGGTGAAAGGAGGAATCCACAGTTTTTTATTGGAAGACATGTTCATCACACTGTTGGAGTTATGGTTTGGGGTGCTATAGCTTATGGTTCCAGGTCACCTTTAATCTTCATCAGAGGTAACATGAACGCGCAGCGTTATATCCACGAAGTTCTAGAACCCCATCTTTTACCCTATCTTGACACCCTGGCAGATCCAACTTTCCAACAAGATAACGCCCGACCACATGTTGCAAGAGTCACAATAAACTTCTTTCAACATAATGATGTCACATTGTCACCATGGCCACCAAAATCTCCCGACTTATCCCCAATTGAGCACGTGTGGGATATGATGGGTAGGAGATTGCTCAATTTGCAACGTCCTCCTCAGACTCTAGAAGCACTTCGAGAGGAGTTGGTGGTTGCCTGGAATGAGATACCACAGGAGGACATTGACCACCTGATCAGAAGCATGCCTAGGCGCGTTGGAGAATGCGTAGCACATCAGGGTGCATCCACACATTATTAAAGGTCAAAGGGCTTTAAAGCAGTGCAATCATTTTGAAATTGTTATCATTTACTTATTATGCTTCATTAAGTAGTTATACAAAATTTTATTAAAATAAAACCATTGAAACTGGGTGTTCGGATTTATATGTCACTTAGTATATTAAGAAGGTACTGATCTCAGTGATACTATGCACCTGTTAAACATAAGAAATCACATATATTTTCCTACATCTGCCATGGAAACAGAGGTATGACAGATTTGCTTTATACAGGGTGACTTCGAAGTTGAGTCATTTATTTTAACAGTGAGTAGATCTGATCAAAAAAAATGTTTTTTTCCTTTAAAATTTTTCTGGTAAAATTAAAGTAACAAAGTTATAGCCCTTTAGAAGTTTGAGTACCGCCCTGTCTCAATAATAATATTATGTGCTCGTGTTTGGCAACAACGGATATACTCCGCCTTATCGGTTCATCGCATCGGAAACAAAAAAGCGAAAGAATTTGAAACGCTGATCACGATGTTTTTATTCAGTCGGTAACGGGTGAGTGAATAGTGGTGTTTGCTGCGTGACACAAACGAAATGAAAAATGGCACATGTTTACGAAAATGCTGAACTTGTGGACATGCTACAAAATGCTGCCGCGGCATCACAGATTTGTGCGAATCGGTTTCCCAATCGAGTGCAACCAACCCCTCGTGCCTTTGTTAATGTAGTTCAAAGGGCTCGTGAATCAGGTGACTTAAGACCTCACAGGCCGGTGCTCCAAGACCGCTCGATCAAATACATGGCCGCACTGAAATACTTGTCGGGAGGATACTTTATAAAACAGGGTAACATTTTTTTTTTATTTTTTTTTTATTTTTACACACATATTTTGGTTTATCTTCCTTCTACAATCATTATCTGAAAATTAATGACTCAACTTCAAAGTCACCCTGTATAGATTGATATGCATACCTAATCAAGATTCGATTTAGCCTTTTGAGACGATTTGACTCATCCCTTTTTATGAAATCTCCAACGAAGGCATAGAAAATATAGAGTCAATTTACTTGACCCCATTTTTTTCGAATGCCTGTTTCATCTGATTATTCCGTGCTGTGTATATGTAGAGCTGAATAAAAAACAATGTTATTATTTTTCTTCGGGCAAAAAATGCAGCTTTTGAGAATTTTATTGTGCATTTTTTCTTCAATCCTCACTTGTTAGCAAATATTAGTACATAATGTCAAAATTCCACTTTTATATTTAGCAGAATTGAGCGGATATTTATCACTTTTTTTCTTCGAAAAATCTTTGATTTTCTTGAAACCTCATTTTGCAGCAAGTTGAGTTTTCAAGGAAAGCAAAGATTTTTTGAAAAGAGAAAGTGATAAGAAAAAATAAACACACGCTCAATTCTTCCGTAATAGTGGAATACTGATATACAATTTTAAAGTTGTGACGATTGAGAGAAACATGCAAAAAGAAAGCACAAAAAATTCATTTTTGATAAATAAGAATCTGGTAATATTGTTTTTCAGTCACCATGAAACAGTCGGACGAAATGTGTTAAGAATAATCCTCTTGACAGTCTGTTGGAAAAAAGGGACATGCGAGGTTAAGTACCTCCACCATATCTAAGCGTTTTATACAGGGGGTACGACTAGTAAAAAAATCGATTGTAAAAAATACTCGTGCACGTCAGACTAAGATCGAGCGGGTAAACTAAATGCTAAGAGGTGTGTATTTCAATAATCTGACGATTTGAGTGTAACGTAATGGAGTGGGCGGGGGAGTCAAAAACGAATGAGGATAACGACATGCGATTTTCACTAGTTTGGAGAGTTTTTCATGCACTTTCTGAGTAAAGAAATAAAATAATACAGTTGCGTTTAAAGTTTTCGAAAAAAAAATGGCATTTCTAATTTTGAGGTTAGAGTTACGACTCCTAGCGGCTACTTCAGGAAGCTGAAAATAATTTTCAGAAATTATCTCTTAGTTACCTTTGTTACAAATAACCGATAGTTCAAGGTTAACTAGTTGCCGAGATACAGCCGGCGTCTACCCGGTACAAACTGGCAGATTACCATACCTTCAATATCAGTGGCACGAGAGACATTATGGTATATACGATATCAATATCTGACATAATCGAGTATTTCTATGTAACTTTCTTTTACATTTTTGACAACATGCAGACGCGCCCCTTTCTCTCCACTGAAAGGTTCATATCATATAACATGAAGAACAGTCTCGAGCATAGTTAGTTTATGTTTACTATGCTCAAGTTGAGGCACGACTGAGGTATGTACTATCCTTCTGGGTTCGCACACAAATGCCCAGCAAGTATTTTTAGTCCAGAAAAGAGTGGTTAGATGTATGACCGGAGTCAGAAATAGACTTTCTAAAATACTTTTTGAAGCATTTTAACTTTACTATCATTATCTTTATACGAAATGACTTTTATTAACAAAAATCGGTTTTTAAACAATTTTAACTCGTACTCGAACAAACAAGCTGGTGACTCAAATATGTGTTTTGCCAAGTATAAGATTAGCGTCAGATCTCCAGAAATACTGGGTCCACGCGTTTTCAATTGGCTACCAAATCGCATTAAAGAGTGGAGATATAAATAATTTTAAGGCTAAACTTGAAGATTTTGTCATTTTATTATTTATTTGTCTGTTTGTTCTATACATATATTTATTTTTTGTTGTTTAATTAGTTTTTACTCTGACGAGTATTATTCATACATTGTAAGGTCTCTAAGGATAATAAAGAATTTGAATTTTTTCTTGCGGCAATCTAATATTCAAAGCCCAGTAGGTCCCTACGATGCTCGAATAACCATTTAGCTTCTTGGACTCTCCTGATATATTAAAAATGCAACCATAACATGACATACCAAGTTTTATCATCTTACAAGTTGTTTAAAAAAATAAACTCACCTGAAATTTCTCCGAGCATGTGACAGGGTTTCCAGCGATTTGCCATAGAATTTCGACTTCCTCCTCTTTACAGCGACGAATTCGAACACAGAAAGATGCTGCGCCACCTTCAGCTGTCAACACTGGTGTTGGGTACTTCAAAAATTCGATTTCGCGACCTTGGATGACCTTTTCTGTAACAAATAAATGTTCATGAAAACGCTTTATCGTGTCGAAAACATAATTCTTTTTTCAGTTTACTTCCTAAGTCACTGGCGAAAAAATTTTGTATGGTTGAAGATGTTCTTTGAATGTTTTATAACATGTAAACTAAACATGATGCGTTCGTCCCTTCGACCAAAAAACACAGACAACCATTTACAGCTATTTCGTGCTTTTTGGCTACTCATCAGCAACGTCTAGGCTTGGTCTCTCATCTCTTGGACAACGAACGGAAGTATCGCAACTAACCTCTATCCAGGTCGTACGGCCTATCGAAATAAGTCATTATATAACTTAGGTCAGCGTTACGTAAAAAGTGAAGAGTCTACAGTCTTGGTGACATTTTCAAACTTCATTCCTGTTGTTGGAATAAGTAACCTGATTATAAGATACATAGTAAATTAATACCCGTGTCAAGTGAAAAAAGGGAAAATGATTGATACATTAGACATATCAAAAATGAGAATTAAAAAAAGTAAGACATAATAACGACAATTTAAAATTTGTAAGATAAAAACTCGTGTACAGTGTAAAAGCAGCTGTGGGATAGAGATTTCCTAAACTCATTAAATTTGTGACATCCCTTAGATTTTTTGGTAAATTGTTGAAGAGATGGATGCAGTTGTAAAATACAGGTCTTTCATATGTTTATGGCTGGAAAAACTTAAAAGCATACTGCGTGTGGTGTAGTTGTGGTTACTTCCAAGGAGAGTAAAACCGCCAGGGTTGCTTTTCACACACATTACACATTTTAATATGTACACTGATAATAGTGCTAGAATTAATTCCGTGTTTTTTAAAAGTTTGCCTGCATGAGTGATTTCAGGTTAAACGAAAAATGAGCCTAATCATTTTCTTTTGAACTAAAAATACTCTTTTAATACCTCCCACAAGTGGCAGTATTAAACAACAAATGACCATCCTGGCTTAGGAGGGGTTTCATTTTGAAAATAGCGAAAAAGCCTTGTTCAGTATTGCAGACATGATTTATGAGACCCGAGTTTAAAAAAGTACCTAAAAGCTTTACACCGAATTAGAAATATATCCGACTGTCAGTAAAAATATGGTCTGTTAATTATTTAATAAAAAAATGCATAAATGTTGTTTTGTCTTTTATCTAATATCGGGTGACTTTTTTACACCAAGACTCGATCTCAGACATACTGCTGATTATTTTCCTTTAATCTCTTCTGGGGATTCCCTTTCCTGCTTTTACCTGTTTGGGGAGACCTTTCGCAAATATAAAAAAATAATTGTTAATGGTCCCAGCACTGATTGATCCCTATGGGACGCCCAAAAGATGCAGGAAATGTTTTAGATTCTGTATTTTGTATTTTTACCTTTAGTGACCCTCTTATGCCCAGCTGATGAAGTTTCCTCTAGATTTTTGCGATGTTAACATTATAGTTGCTACATATATTATCATGCTGTATATGATAGATATGATATACATAGATATGAGTATTATGTCAAAAAAATCATTATTTGCCGTCAATATTACAATTTTATTTATTGGAATCGACTAAACGTTATTATAGGACGTAAAGAGGAAAGATAAGGTACAAATAATCATATTTAAAACATAATGGCGTACGTGGAAAAACATCTCCACGTCACGATGGATTTTCATCCTGCTAACACCCCAAGAGGCATGACTTGCCACAAAGTGGCAGATCTGGACCCTATTCAGCAAATCTCGCTGAATCAGCACAAGTTGCAAATCGTCAGAGAAAATCATAAATATCTGAACAGTCATCGTGAAGTTAGTGTTGCAATCAAACTTGTTATGGATGAGATACTCAAAACAAGACCTTTGAGTAACATTCCAGTGTTCATATCAACGTTTTTCAAGAAAAATCATCAAGAAATTGCAACAAAAATGCAGGCAGCTGTGGAGAAGCGTAAAGAACAAGAGGAGAATCAAAGGGTCAAAGAAGAGTTGGAAACACAAACAGGTGTAAAAATTCACTCAGAACACAGCATATTAGGAGAAATGAAAGATTTGGATCAAATAACTTTGGATTATCTTGCCTATCAAGATGTTTTAGACGAAGCAGGGGAATCTGAACAAGCCGAAGATGACGCAGTGTTCGTTTGCTACGAAATCGTTCAGGATATAGTGAATGCTGTGGTGAATCAGGAGATAATTTCCAATGAGGAATTGCCGTACACCGAGTCTGATCCTATGGTGTACTTCCCTCATTCTGTGAACAACCTTACGCATTCTTCCATAGATCAAGGATCTAATTTAGATAAAATTTAGATTAAAAAAATAAAAATATATTGCTACATATTGCAGAATACTTGACTCATTCAAGCCACTCGAAAATTAAAAGGTTAAGTCAGTACCTCCATCGACCCTCGGGTTTTTGAAGTTACTCGGAACTAGCAGGTTGAGCAGAATAAAGACGTTTTCGTTCTTGATTGTTGGCCTAACATTTTTTTATTTCATTAAAATCCAAATGTTACTTTCCAAATTATGCGGTTAATGAAGTTAATTATGAAGTTAACCTTTTAGGGGGAGGTGAAAAATGGCCCTGCCAATCCTCTTTCCTTTTGGAATGTTGTCGTTTTTATATTTTTATGTATAAATATTCCAATAAAAATTATTATTATTATTATTATTATTATTAGCGGACAGACAAATAGCAGCCAGATATCCGAAAAAAATGGCGTCAAATAGATGGACTCTATACTTCCACGCTTCCGAAACAACTTCTGGTACAATCTCCTATGTAGTGCGATGACATCAAAAAGACCTGACGTTGAATTTAGTTTTCGGTCCGTGTATAGTACGGAGTTACAGGCAGTCAGGCTGGTGGGGGTAGTTTGGGTCAAGGTTAAGCGGTTCCGGTACTTTTGCCACGCCTGTATAGATATCGCACCCACCACGTACGTCGCTGCGGTCCTAGGTATTATACCTTTATCGTCACTCGGATCGAATACCGAAAATGCAATATGCGATCGATAGGTGGATGAAAATATCTTTAATGGAAATGTAGAGAAAAATCAAAAGTTTTAGGAATCATATATATTTTTTTTTTTTAGTTTTTGGCCCTTTTCTCAGGATCTGAACCGATTTTCAATAACTATTCAGCTTAGTCTTTGTCATAGTAGTAACCTTGTGTAAAAATTTCATACAAATCCGAGTAGTACTTTCTAAGTTATAGCCGAGCCAAAGATGAGACAGACCGACAGACAGACAAACCGACAAAAAACATTCAATATCCTATTTTCGAAATATTCCGCGATTATACTTAGCCATTAAGCGTTTTATTTTCGAACTTGGTCAAACTTTCAGCAATCATCTTTAGCTCATAGTATGTTGTTGACACCTTGGAAAAAATAATGACAAAATTTGTCAAAACCATTCAAGTGATATGTCAATATACTGATTTTATCAAAAGTATCTTAAAGGCAATATAATAAGGAAGATCAGAAAATCTTTCGGTTGTAGCATGTCCTAATGGTATCGAATTTTTGAGAGGATATTTCAGAATCACAGTGGAGAAGAAATTCCGACAAGATGGTGGATCTCTCGGATGTACCCCATGAAAAAATGAAGTTTCACCCCTGCGATACTCCAAGAGGTATGACCTACTACAAACTAAAGGATCTGTGCAGCGAGCAACAAACATCTTTAAATGATCAAAAAATCAACATCATCAAAGATAATAACAAATATCTGCAAAATCACCCTGAAATCAAAGTAGCTATACAACTAGTGCTTACACAAGTACTTAAAGCAAGGCCTATGATAAAAATCCAGCAATTCTTAGCCGAATACTTTGTAGAAAACTGGCAAGAGATACAAAAAAAGATGATGGCAGTCGCTAAGTCACCTACAAAGGAATCGCCGGAAGCTGTATCTCTGTACATAGAAAGTTCTAAAGCGTCAGAAGAGTCAATGAAAGAGATACCAATAGTGAAACACTATGAAGCAGACACAACGTCGTACCAGTACAGAGTTTCCGACGTGGTTCCCTCAAATCCTTCGGACGTATGCGCTGCGGTAGTTGAAGAGATCGTGCAAAATGTCGATAGAACGATCCATGCTAAGGATCAGCTGGAATTGGTGTTCAGAGGCAAGTCGGGCGATTCGGATCGTACCTTGAACATTGACATGGAAGATCTTTCCTGGGATTCACTATCGATTGATACTAAAGAAGAGAGTACTAACATCTTGCCTGCCTAGCATAGGGGGTACGAAACGTTTTGTAACGAATTATTCAAATTATAGTCCAAATTGTATCTCGTAAGGAATAAATATCAGCAAAATATTGCTTGTGTTCTTATATACCAGTGCTGTAACTTGATTCTCTCTATACAGATTACACAAATGGCCAGGCGAATGCTACACATGCAGTATGTTTTGTGATCCTGACCATTTCATAAAAGATGACAGGTATTAAAATGTATGGTGTGCCTACCAATGAGAAAAATTTCTAAATTGAGTTATTTGGAACAAAAAAAACCCGTTTAAAAAAACAGCAGTATAAATGCAGAAATAGTATACCTAGGTTAATATTAAATAATGGATGTTATATTTTCAATTAAAGCTTACCAGTTGATCATCGACCAGTGCCAATAAGAGAACAAAAAAAAAATTTAGTATACAAGGTGTCCCAATATTTCTTGCACAAAGGCAACATAAGTCGATTGTGCATGATTTACCTCTATGCAAAAGCGCTTCGTTTGTTCGTTAGAATACATCAAAATTTTCTTTTTAAAATACATTTCCTGATTCCTGAAATTTGGTACACAATTGTTTTGCTAGACGTCTTAATATTTAACTCTTACAAAAAACTCTAAAGAGTTCGATAGGGGTTAAAGCTACCCCCAACCCTACATAAATTATAATAGACTTTTTACGCAACTCTCCCAACGACTCTGATATTTTTTTATTTGGAAGGTCCATTCATTTACATCATTTTTAATTTCTCGTAAAAACAGGCGAGCTCGCATATTTTTCGTGAAAAAAAAAGTTTTTTGGAGCTGGCTTCTAAAAAATTTTCTTATTAAATCAAATGTTAACATTTTTTGTGCAGAAACGGAAATGGTGGTCATATTGAAGACCTTTTATGAAATATTCCCAGTATTGCCTGTATTATATAAAATTACAATAAGTAACATCATACTTGTTTATTTTCGCTAACTACATTCAAACAATAAGACGCCTGGGAATCTCTTTATGTAGCCCAATATTTTTTTCCCGAAAACTATCCGAGATATCCTATTTAGTAGGTAATCAGAACGGTCTGCTAAATAAAAAAATACAGTCGTTGAGAAAGTTGCAAAAAAATACTGCGATAATTTATGTAGGAGTAGAAGTAGATCGTCTACCAAAACATATGTGTTCAAAGTTTCATTCAAATCGGGGACTACCTTAAAATATCTTAAAAATGTGTTTTGAAAAGAAAACTTTGACGCCCTCTTAAGACAAATCGAAGCACTTTTGCATAGAAGTAAATCATGTCCAAATCGACTTATTTTGAGTCTTGAAATACGTTGTACTTTCATATCTACGGAATATTGGGACACCCTTTTTAGTGACAATGATATAACAGTAATTTTCATAGTGTGCCCTAGGTATTTGATTTTAGCCAATAACACTCTCGGTTCACAACTAATATTTAGTACAGGTTAAGAGAAATTTGAAAATCTAAAGATACTTCATTGAAGTTCCAAATATTCTACTGTATCTTGCCCAACTAGCGAAGTGGTGCTATAAGTCTTAGGTAAAGGAACTGTTAAGCCATAAAAGCTCTCTGTTGTTGTTGCCTGAACACCAAAATGCTGGCTTAACATTTTGAGAAATGTGAGTTTGCTTCCTGCAGCACGCTTGCTCTAAAATGAGGTGACTAAAACATCTGCAACAGTATCTTCCATAGTAGAAAATTGCTGTGCTTGTCATATATTTGTTGCTTAATATACAGGTATATATAACCTAAGATCCTGCTGTCATCCTTTTAGGTAAAATGCCATGACCAGTTTTTTCCTTCTTCAAGACAAGCAACGGATGGATATTCGTTCTAAGGTTTTATCAACTTTTCAAACAAAAAGTATAGATCTGATACAAACTCTGAGTAAAGCACGTAACGCTGTCCATATTTCATTTCAGGGAATTTGAAAATTGCTGTATAATACCTGCGGATAACACCAAAATGCTCTAATAAACCAGAGACAATATGGAAGACGCCATGATTATACATAACTGCCCGCCATATTGGATAAAAGTATATCCCTCTGTTGAAGATCAAATAATTCTGTTTCAGTGCGACCTAACAGGCAGAAAATGATCTAATTGTGACTAAATATATGATTTGTGGAAGGTTTAACACAAATAAGTTCAGATTTTCATCTTAAAAATGTAGACATATTTTTGATCATTGTTAAAATATGAATCAAATACGTACAAACTGCGTAACTACTTTGTACGATGATCACAATAAAATTTACTGCGCAGGTCATTCAATAGCCTTATACCAAACTGTAGAATAACACATGTCCTAAAAGTTTTGGCACAAATTCAATGGCTCTAATTTTAACAAACACAAAATAATACCAGTTGCCTTTGGAAACAAAAGCTTGCATATTTACTTTACTATCAGTTGACATCTATTTATTTTAAAGTTTTCGCTTTAAGTTGTACAAATTGGAAATAAGAAGAAGTATCTACAATTTGGTTGGGCGGGTAACCAAAGGTGAAATTTGTCGAATATTCCAGAATGAACACATTTCACGCATAACCATTTATCGAACAACAGTGGAGTGCGAGCAGGAAATACCATGTTTGAATCTCCCAAAAAGTGGAAGGCCACGTGCATTTACTACAGAGAGGTGAGAGAGATTGGTGAGCAGAGCAAAAAATCAAGTTGGAATGTCAACAAGGAGACTGGCTCGTCAATACAGATCTTCTAAGAGTATCATATCGTTGAAATTGAGGAGGAATGATCTTGAATATCGAAAGAGACTTAAGTGCCTCGGAAACTCTCAAGCGCAACTCCTTCGTATACCAAGAAGCTGTCGTCAACTGAGGCGGATACACTTTACCAATGGAAAAATAGTAAGTATTTTGTGTCAAAACTTTTATTACATACGTTATACCTGTGTATGTGTTAGTTTGAAAATATTCTTCACCTCGCCTATACAATACATAAAAAATAGTTACATAATAGTTACGCAAAGGTTATCTAGCCGCTGCTAGACTGTTTACACTTTTGTCGTGTAACTGTTACCTACAGCTTTTATAAAACCTCTTAAGTGCCTGAAATGTTCTAGTAAGTGTGCCCATTCCGCTTGTACAGCTGTTCTAAAAACGTTTTGCGAATGCTCTTGCAGCATACCATGCTCTGTGATGAATATAAACGTTCTTGCAACCCCAATGACAGTTGTTAGTTGGATACAATCTCAACCAAAACTTGTTTCTAGGGTGTGTAGATCACGAATCTGATGTCATTTTTTGCTAAGATCGACAAGACGCGTCTAAGCCCAAATTTTAAGTTTCACGGCACTTTAGGATATTTTAATTATCTGCAACGCTCCACGTTTTCCTTTTGGAAGGAGTGTAATTCAAATCACTCCGCTTATAACAAATATTGTTTGAATAATACTGATCTTCCTGTTTTTGAGCTGATGCATCGTCTTTCTGTACCGAGCGATCAAAAAATCTAAAAATAAGTGAGAATGCGAGTATGTAATCTCACCATGCATCGTCACATCGTCGATGCACCAACAAATTCGAGTGTCGCCGATTCGGTGTTTTTTTGCGATCCGCAGTGCCGCAACGACAAAAGAGATTTTTTCGGATCGCCGCTGTAGGAAGTGATCAATAATTTATAAGATGAACGCCGAACTCGATCAAGATTCGCATTCACGATTCGTCGACGATTTTACGAATTTCGATGAACAACTTTTGCTGTTTGTTCGGTCTCAAGTTAAACGCAGTACGATCATATTTTTCAGATTGAATGACAAATACCTTATAGAAGATTGATATATTAGGGACGTATTCCATAAGCTAATTCTCCTGTAAACTGATTTTTAATTTTTCATTGAGGTTTTTTATTCCGAAGCATCCGCGTAGGCAGAGGCCTAAATACCAGGGTAAGTAAGCATATGAGATATGTCAAGCACATTGCTAGGTCAACCCTGCATCACACGAAATTTTCCCAATAGGTTCACAAGTCTGGTTGGAGTCAGAAAACACGACCGCCCTTAAGCCTGTTCATGTCATACATTCAAGAATCAGCGTTCACATGTGAGCAATACTTGAGACTAGGTCTTGTCTGGCCTCGGCATAGAATGAGAAGGTTATGCCGAGAAGAGTACTTCTTGTCCCCAAAACAAATAGCCTAACTTTTTCCCAGCAGCTGCCAAATGAATTCCTTGGTGATCCGGACTCCGACTTGCCCAAATGAACGGGTCATTGGTAGAACTCGGATGAGCGCTACGATGTTTCCTGTTCGCCAAGTCTTGGAAGCATTAAACTGTACCAGATTGTAGCGACCCCAAGCGGTGGTAACATCCAAATTTCCCGTCACAGAGGAAGTCGCTCCTGGTCTTCTTTTCTCCAGCTGACCGGCAGATATCGGCTTGGCAGTCTGAATTCCTGCATGTAGAGTGCTGTCATCAGCAAAGCTTGTATGGGATTGATCATACCGGAAAGGATGTTGTTGATATGTTAGCGGAACAATGTAGGAGCCGCCACCGGTCCCTGGGGGCACCCGTGTTGACATTGTGGGATGAAAAGGAGAACCCGTCATTTACAATGGATCTCTTGCGGCCAGAGAGGAAGTCAGCCATCTATCTGCAAAGCTTCTCTGGGATGCCATGGAATGGAAGGTTGCATGTCCCAGAATAATACAACAATCTCTCGTGTGCATATAGACCACAAAAAAGAATGCCACAAGTCGCTGTAAGAATATCATCTTTTTAAATAAGTAATGAAATATCGGAATCTTCTGTAAACTGAAAGTATGTGAGTTCCCCGATTCGTATCCCAACTAACAATTATCACTCCTATTAGAGTTGCAAAAATGATTATACAGTATTCCTTACACAGCATTGTACACTGTAAGAACATTGACAAAACCCTCTTAGAACAGCTATACAAGCGGAATGGGCACACCTAATAGGACACTTCAGTCATTTAAGAGGTTGTATAAGGGCTGCAGGTAACATTTATACAACAAAAGTGTAAGCCCTTTGCAGCTATAGGACATTTGCGTGATTCTACTTTATTGCAACCAAACTATTTCTTATGTATTGCATAGACGAAGTGAAGAATGTATAACTAACACATTACAGTCATCTTGTTTACTTACATATCGGCCATTGTGAATTTCATACACAGGTATATGATAAACTTCGACACTGTGATATAGGGCTATTGAATTACTTGCGCAGCAAATTTTATTGTGATTATCGTGCAAAGTAGTTACGCAATTTCTACGGGCTTCTTATTTCATGCACATTTTGATAATGATCAAAAATATCAAAAGTATTTTTAAGATGGAAGACTGAACTTATCTGCGTCAAATCATCCAGAAATCCTATATTTAGACACAATTACACTAATGTTTATCACTTTATATCTGTAATTTCGAACTGAAACATAATTATTTAATATTAAATAGAGGAATAAATGTTTGCCCAATATGGTTGGTGGTTGTGTATAATCATGGCATCGTCTATGTTGTCTTCAGTTTATTAGAATATTTTGGTGTTGCCTGCAGGTGTTATACAACAATTTGACAAATTTCTGAAATGAAATACCGACAGAGTCCAATCATTTACCCAGAATTTGTACCAGATCTATATCTTCTGTTTGAACAGTTGAACCGATATGCATGCGTTGTTTGTCTTAAATCATTGGTTAAATATTACAGCAGAAAGTTAGGTTATGGTGAAGTTGTATACCAACATATTTAGCATATGTACAGCCTTTAACAGTTACTAAACAACAGTTGTATAAGTGCTTCCGTTGGGAGCAACTTGTTGGCTAAAGTAGTAATATGCACAGCAAAACAACAAGGCTCGGGTTTGTTTTATAAACGTTACCATGGATGCCATAACACAACCATTTTGATTAACGTGTAAATATGCCGTATAAAATAGTTGTATAAACGTTTATGCAACAGTTAAAAAATTGTCCTATAAGGTGTTGTATAACTATGCTAAAGAATATTTTAAACACCTCATTTTAAAGCAAATATGTTGCAGAAAGCAAATTTGCATTCCACACAACATTAAGCCAGCATTTTGGTGTTCAGGCAACAACAATAGAGAGCTTTTATGGCTGAATGGTTCTTTTACCAAAAGCTTATAGCACTACTTTGCTAGTTGGGATATTTACAGTCAAGTAGCTTAATTTTTATTGAAGTCAGGTTACCGTCTCGAAAGTTATATTTTTTGGACAGCTGAATATTGAAAAGAGAATGAAACTTACCATGAACGTCAATGAGAGAGGTGGAAGCTGCGTCTCCATACAAATTATACACTTCGCACCTGTACTTCCCAGAATGATCCCCATGAGCGTCTGAAATCCTCATAGTGATTATACCTTTTTCCTGATCGACGGTTTGCTTGAAATCACCGCTGCTCACAGGCAAAATGCAGTCATCTTTGCTCCAGATAACGTCGTATGGGGGATTTCCACGGACTGTAATAAAAAAATAATCTAATTGTACTATTTGGAGGAGTCCACATATTCAAGTACCACGCAAATGAAAAAATAGTTTTCTTATAAACCTCACTAAATTAACTTTTATTCAAAATTCTTGAGGATCTAAGTACCATGGATCATTTTTATTCTATTATACTAATATGATACAGGTAAAAGCAGCAAAGGATACAAAGTTACCAGTACAAGGGGCACTCGCGCTGAGTTAAGTAAAAAACAGATGTCTTATCTGCTGCTAGGTGAAGAACTGAAATAAAGAATAGAAAATACGTAAAATAAATGAAATGAAACATATAACGGGTGATGTTTTAAGAGGTATAGGATTCGATTTTCAAAAAAAACACAAAACATTTGAAACAACGATTAAATCTTTATTTGAGTCGTTAGATCGGTCGATATAATTTAATTTTAAAGATTATTTCCTGTAAATGTTGGCCGCTGCTCCGCTTTAGATGGCCCATGCGCAAGGTCCAATTTTGGCACACTCTTTCCAACATATCGGCCGGTATTTCACGAATAAATGCTTCAATATTGGCTTCCAGTGCGTCAAGCGTTGCTGGTTTATTCCTGTAGACATTAGCCTTAACATGGCCCCACAAGAAATAGTCCAACGGCGTTAAATCACACGATCTAGGCGGCCAGTTGACGGGCCCCAAACGTGAGATAAACTGTTCACCGAACTCGCCTCTCAATAGGACCATTGTTTCGTGTGCGGTGTGGCATGTGGCACCGTCTTGTTGAAACCACATGTCAGCCAAGTCCAGCTCTTCCATTTTGGGCAAAAAAAAGTTTGTTATCATCGCACGGTAGCGCTCGCCATTCACAGTTACGTTCCGGCCATTGTCGTCTTTGAAGAAGTACGGCCCGATGATGCCACCGGCCCATAATCCACAAACAGTGATTTTTTCGGGATGCATTGGTAGCTCTTGCAATGCTTCTGGCTGGTCTTCACTCCAGATGCGGCAATTTTGCTTATTAACGTACCCATTCAACCAGAAATGAGCTTCGTCGCTGAACACAATTTTTCGATAAAAATGTGGATCTTCCTTCAACTTTGCTAGCGCCCATTCACCAAATTGGAAACGTTGTGGGAGGTCGTGTGGCTTCAATTCTTGCACCAGCTGTATCTTATAAGGTTTCACACCCAAATCCTGTCGCAAAATTTTCCACGTAGTGGAGTAACAGAGGCCCAATTGCTGCGAACGGCGGCGAATCGACATTTCACGGTCATCACTAACACTGGCGGATACAGCCGCAATATTTTCTTCAGTCCTCACTCTACGTCTGCGTGTTGGTGGTTTAATGTCCAATAATGTAAACTGGGTTCGAAATTTAGTCACAAGCTTCCGAATAGCTCGCTCAGTAGGCCGACCAAATTGCCCATAAATTGGAAGCAGTGCTCGATGCACTCTCTTAACCGAGCATAAATTTTGATAGTAAAATTCAATCATTTGCAAGCGTTGTTCGTTCGTAAGTCGATTCATGGATAAATTATAGACCAAACTGAACAAGTTTGACAATGACACAAGACACGATTCACGCGTCATCTGTCAAAAACAGTGTTGCCAAGAAGATACTAGCAAAAAAATCACCCATTATAAGCTACAAAGGATATGGTATGAATGCCACTGCTGGAGGTGGATCATTAGTAACATTCATAAACAAATCTATAGATCATACTTGTAATGTAGCTTTCGTCCATCCGACCACAGACTGCCCACCATGGACAGCTGTTTTATGGTATTTGACGACTCCTCAGCCTGGTGTAGGCTTGGTCTCAAGTAGGACAGTGAACGATAGCTGAGCAACTATCATCTATGCATGGTATAAGGTCAATCGAAATAAGACAGCACAAAGCGCCATCTGTTACCGAAAATGTAAACAATAGTTTTGTCTTATTTCGTTAAATCTATAGATGAATTAATGTTCTCAATTTAGTATTATCTGTATTTGCAATAGTAGTGACTATATCCAGGCTGACATATTTAAATTGAAAATAAATGCGGACACTATAAAGTGAGAGAATATGATCAGCAGAAAACTGGCAGGCAAGTGAAACTTATACCCAAGACTTCAAATTTGGTTGTTTTCCTACTTTGTCTACACAAGCCAGCTCAACCAAGTTATTTGTCAGTATTCGCTCCAATTCTGTAACATATTCAATGAAGCTCCGCAAAGTTCCAATTTGATCATGGGTTATTTTGAAAATTAGAAGTAAAACATATGTTTGTGACATCACGTTTTTGACCCTGGTACACTCATGAATGGATCTCCTTCGTCAACTACACCTCAACCTGAGCTCCTTTATGAAAAAACGGATTCCAAATATGCTGGAATAACAATAAATGCCTAAAATCAATAGCAAGGCAAATCTGAACACCGTTTCTCTCCTTTATTGTGCACCCAAGGACGCAGCAGCAACCTGTCATAGTGAATCGCACTGTACACCTCTAACAGCCACGCGCGCCACTTCCGACGGATGCCGGCCATCGACTACCTGTTTAGTTATAGTACAGGAAGCATCTTCGCGTCTGCTTAAAAAAATATTTTTAATGTTTTTTCGCATAATATTATTAACAAATATCTCTTTTAATAAATCTGCATGTTGCCAGACCTAAAATTGCGTCAAAAGTTGTTTTTCTTTTTTGTTAAGGTTGCGCAAGACGCCTATCAGAATATTTTTCCGAGCAGATGCGAAGATACTTCCTGGACTTTTACCCCACGAAAGCGTGATCGCATCCAAATGGCATATAGCATTTCAGTCACCAGATGTATCATCTTAGCCACCGCGACAGAATCTGTTTTTCCGACGGAGTGACAATCCTACTGGTAACCGTGAATTCTATGGTTTGCATGAACGTAACATATGTTTGCGTGTATGTTCCTTTTTCAGGCCAAAACAGCTGAACTGATTTTATCGAATTTCACCATATATCTATATAGATTAGACTTTGGAGATCGGCATAGGCTACCATATGCTCGGTTCTTTGATACAGTGAAATACAAAAATTTTTTGTAAAATCCACCCCCAAGGGAATAAATTGGGAATTTACACTTGTAAAGTTTTTTCGAGAATATTTCAAATTAATCCAGCCTACAAGTAGGAGTTTAATTGTTGTCTTTAGAATCATTATTATTAGCAAAGAGTCTTAGAAAGTATATCCTCAAGATGGGGTGAACTATGAACTTGAAATTTGGTAGAGAGGTAGTCTATGGAGAATGCTAGAAACGCATTGCGGAACAGGGCGGGATTAAGCGGGTTTTGACTATTTTGACAGGGTGAAATCTTATATATAGGTCATTTAAGCTAAGAATTTTGAATTAAGAGATTAAAGATCACTTGCAGGTTTACTTGAAAGTGCTTAGTGGTGTTGACAACGATGAGATTCTGTTTAGAGTAAACTCAAACGAAGATTGATTGATTTGTGTAACCCGAAATTAACCGGAGAGATAGCTTTTAAATGCTGATTTCAAAAAATTGATAACATTACTAATTTGTTAGCTGTCTGCCTCACGTAGTTCGGTACTAAATATTTTTTTTGTCAGATTAATCACCTTTCATTTTTAGATTGACAGGTGTTCCCTCAATAACACTGACATTCCTAGGCAAATCCTCGAGAATTTCCGGTGGCATAAACTCATTCACGACCAAACTACCAACTGTTTCAGCTGCGCCATTTTTGTTTTTAGCCACGCAAGTGTAGATTCCCGCGTCATCCTTATTAACTCGTTCTATCTCCAAAACAGCGGTTTTTCCATCGTAAGTTGTTCGATATTTTGTAGTGTCCTCGAGGGCTACCCCGTCCCTGTACCATCTAATTGACGGCGAAGGACTGGCCCTCAAGTCGCAATACAGTCTTGCTCTGCTACCTGTAAGAAAAAAAAAATAAGTAATGACAGAATCGTATCAGAATATACATAACAATATGCTCAAGAAATTGAAAAACAAGAATCTCGATAATTCGTTTCATGATTCCTGATACTATCTACTAATAGCTCAAGTCCATCTGAGTCATACCTAAGAGTGCAGTTGTCCCCATAAGACCCCTAGAGTAGAACGGGGTGGTTCTAGGAGATAAACTCCTAGCTCTAATCCCTCTTGAAGAATAGGGTCTGTGTCTTATGACATCGAGCCTTGCAGAAGCCTCAGTTCTGCCAACATCGTTCTCCAGAATCACCCTGTATGATCCAGAATCACTGGTAGTGACTTCTGATATTTCCAAAATACGAAGGTCTTCCTTTTCGGTAATCTTGATTCTGGCTGTAGGGGTCACAGTTTGGCCGTCTTTTTCCCAGATCACCCATGGATCTGAAAACAAAACAATCAAGTAGATTGACTCTACACTTCCTGTACCTTTGTTGGAGGTTTCAAAGAAAACGGATGGGTCAAATCGTTTCAAAAAGCGGAATCGAATCTTCGACCTCTGCATATCAAACTGTATAAAATAAATCTATCATGTTTCTGTTTCGATTATGTGCAGAATATTACCGAAAACAGCTTTTTAATAATAGAGAGTCTTTCGCTGATAAACAAAAATTCATCAAAATGCGAAGGGTACTTCTCAAGTTGCGGTTATAAAATTAGCGGACCGACCGACAGACAGACAGACCGACGGAAATGATTGACATGCTTTTTGTGATGTACATGTCATATAACATCCAAAAAACATATCTCAGGTTAAAGGTCACGAACGTATTCTTAAAACATATTTTTTCAGATATTTTAATAACTCGTTATCAAAAATAATCTGACACCACTGACATAACATCTCAAATTTCCGGCAACTATATGCCTATTGGATTGTAACACTTGACGAAATAAGAATTTTTTTAGTAACATCGAAAAACTTTTTTTTTCTCGAAAACTATGCAAGATTCTTATAAGAGGCTAAAAATGAAGTAAATAGAAGCATCTTTTGAAAAAAAAAATTCAGAGCCGTTGGGAGAGTTGCGAAAATTTTCTGCTCTAATCCATGTAGGGGTGGAGATAGTTCTCACTCTTTCCGAACCCTTTGAGATTTTATGTGTCAAATATTAGAAAATCTAGCAAAACACATGTTTCACAAGTTTCATTCAAATCGGACTACCGCTGCCAAAAATATCTGAAAAAAATGTGTTTTAAAATGAAAACTTTGACTCCCCCTAACGGACAAACGAAGCACTGTTGCATAGAAGTAAATCATGTCCAATCGACTTCTTTTAAAAAATAAAAAAACTTAAACATTCGTGGTATTTCTATGTCCACTGAATATTGGGACACCCTGTATAGTAACCTATAGCCTTCGTTTAGAAGCAATACTTCCTTCTGGTATAGCTGGGACCCCCGTTTATCTATTTTGAATCCCCGATTCCATTTTCCTTACCTGGATGTCCAGCTACAGCGCACTGAAACCTAACAGTCTCCCCTTCTTCAGCAACCCTATCGTGAGGTCTGGCATAGAACTTAGGAGCAGTGGCCCTGATCCGTCTCACCCTTTCAACAGGCGATGTCGCGCTTGGGGGCGGCACCTCCCTACGGCGAATGTGGGGGGATACACTGCGAATAGGGGTGGACCTAGGAGTTGATGAAGGAGTGGGGGTGTCCAGGAGACCGGCGGGGCGACGCAGTTGCTGTTGGAGTAGGGTATCCTTCTCTTCGGGTACTGCAAAAAGGAAATTGTACGTTTTCTGAAAATTGGCAATGAAGACCCGCTAGCACAGGCACGTCATAATGACGTCGAAATTTAGGGATAACTCGTCAACTGACGTGATTGTTCCAAATATTGACATCGTAATGACGTTTTCTGAATCTCCAATTGTGTACGACGTTGAAAGGACGTATTTTTATGTGATATTTCTTAATTAATTATATATATTTCCACATCTACGATGCTTTCGTTAATTAAGGATCAATATTTCCGATTCAAAACAGAGAAATAATTATTTCATTGGATACCTGATCGGTATTAACTTAAAGCGACTCAGAGTTATCTGAAATGACAAATTATTGAGGTGTCTCCAAACGTTATCGTATAATGTTTCATTTATCTGCTATATTTCTAGCACTCCGGTATATATTTTATGATTTTTAAGAATAAAAGTTTGTGCAAAATGAATAAAACATGACCTGATTAGATACAACATTTAGATAGAACATACCAAATAAAAAAATATGTATTACGTTTTAGCTTAAAATGAACAAAAAATACATATCACATTTCAACTATTCAATAATCAAGTTCAAGCGGATAACCAAATGGAAATGGTATTTACCATTTTGGGTTGGTATTTACCAATCCGTTCAAGCGAGTGTAGTTATCAGTTTGGTTATAAGATCCGTGACGTCACAAATCAGCTGTTATATGTCATAGTTATCACCGAAAAAATGTGGTATTTACCCAACTCAAGAATAGTTTTATATTTCTGGTTATTATTTGAAATGTGACAAGTTAGAATTTTGCCGGGTATTGGATATTGTTATTGTACTTCAGCTTCATTTTTGAGAAAAATGATACAGGCTGACTTCAGTTTTACCATAAAGTGGAGCACCTTATTAGTTATACTCATTACGGTTGTTGGGGGCACTTTAAATGTAGTTCCTATGCTTAACAAAGTACCTATCCTGTGTAGCCATATACCACAAGAATATTAAAATATGGCCATATAAACTCACTAGATGATATCCACCTGTATACGGTTTTGCTAATTTCTTTTTTCATCATTTCTGCTGAATCAATAAATGTTTTCTTTGACATGCGGAAAAATTTAGAGAATTGAAAGTTATCATAGAAACAAAGCCATGGTTCCATCATTAAAAAAAAAATCTGAAAAAAACATTTCTCCCATGAATATTATGAAAGGTTTCTTATTTAAACTTTCCATATACAGTTGTAGACGAAAAAGCACCGATTATTAAGTGATAATAAAAATAATCAGAGATTATATACGCGCTTTTCTAAAATAAACAACTTGCAACAAAACCGCGGTTAAAACCAACGCGTTCAAGCGATTCGTGTAACTGACGTCATCAACCCGTGTGTCATCTTGAACCATATTATAACCGCGACACATAACACAGAAATTTTGGTTATTCGCTTGGATTTGATTAATGTTCATCAAGTGACGTATCATTGACGTCTGCCATATGACGTCATCGGTATGTGACATTAGGAGGCCATTTTCACGTAACTTGGGGAAATAGTCTCAGAATAGTCCAGAAACGTCACTTATCAGAGAAGTACTTACAGTCCACAACTAGGCATGAGGAAGTAAAAGCTTTTCCTAGCTCGTTGTAAGCGACGCAAGTATATTCTCCCTCATCTTCAGGGTAAACTTGTCTTATCGATAATTTTGCTGTTTCGCCATCAAAGTCTGCATTGAAGTCGCTTCCAAGATGAATCAACTGAAACAAATTCTCATTTTAAATTTATCTTGAATTTCTCATAAATTTGACATATCCACAAGGAGTGAGTGAGACAAATTTTGTTATTAATTCATTTACAGTTCGATGGATTGGGCGTTATTGGAGTGCTTTGGTAAATTTGGAAAGATAATAATGACTATAAACGAAACTACATGAAAATTGACAAAGTTATCCAAATCTGGATCATTCCAAATTAAGGTATATTGGGTTAAATCACCTTACCAAAATTTGATTGATAGGTCGCATCTAGGGGCTCTTAACCTCAAAAAGTACTTTTCTGGAAATAATTTTTGATCAATTTATTTTTGATCAAAATATTTTGAAAAAATTATTGTGTTACGAGTATATCCTGCATAACTTTATTTTTTACAAATTTGAGGCGGTTCGAGAAACATTTTTTTTCGAATTTTTGGTTGGGTAATGAAAACTGAAAAATCCACAGTATACAGTGTATTTAGCGTTCTTTTCGGATTCACTAACAAAATCATGATTTTTTAACCAGAACATCGCAAAAAACGGAAAGACCGCATTTTCACCAGTTTTTACGATTTTCGATATCTTTATAGCAGGATATCATAACTATTATGATTTAGAAACTTTTTACTGACCTAAAATGTTTAAAATTGTAAAAAATCATTAAAACCACGGTTTTTCCTAATTTCTGGATCGCAGCTCACAATTTTGACAGTGGATCCCGAAAATACACTCCAACTAACCAAAAGCGGCTAAAATTAAAGAACATCGGCAAAAATGCAATTTTTCCTATTTTCACAATTTTCCGGGAAACAAATCAAAATTTTGGTCGTGGAAACAGGAATATTCACATAAATACATATGTAGGTTGAGTTTTCAAGTCTAAGCTAAGTTAAAAAAAATATCTAAAGGGCGCAAAAATGTGTTTTTACGATTTTTGGCGATTTTCCGGGCAAACATTCATGATTTTGTTCGTGGATCTAAAAATGACGCAATAAAGTATTGATAAATAGAGGATATTTAAGTTTGAGAAATTCTGATTACCAACCACAAATTCGAAAAATAAATACTATTTTCTCTAACCTATAGATAAGTTGAAATCTAAAAATACTTTTATCTAGGATATCATAATGTAGCATAAGTGATTTTTTGAGCAATGTTTCGCTCGTAAATAGTACCTAGAATGGAAAAAGTCGGTGAAAATTAGACTTTTATTTTTGCATTTTCTGGGTATGAAATCATTATTTTAATAAAGAAAAAAAAACGTGAGGTGATGATGTAGAAGATGAATTTATACACAATATTTTTCCCTGTTTTCTCAATTTTTTGGGATACTAATCAAAATTTTGATTGTGGAACCTGAAAGAATGGACAAGAATACATACAAGTGTGTACGGTGAGTTTAGCTCGCCAAAAAATATTTCGAAAAAAACACTCAATTTTTGTCAGGATTTCAGATAGTATTGCTTACCTTTCCTGCTTTTTCCCATCTAATATCTGGTGGTGGATTCGCCTCTACTACGCATTCCAATGTTGCAGAATCTCCGTCACAACAACGAATATCTCTTAGCTCGGTCACAATTTTCGGAATAGTTTTAACCTCTCTGCAAAGATTTTTTTAATTCATTTTATATTTAAATGTATGCTTATAAACTTACCCCATCTTCTTCCTGTCCATTGATCCTACTGGCATACTGGGATCTATAAAGGTGACATCCGATTTTAAATATTTCTCTATATTCATAACTTTTACCAACTAAATTCCAACCAATAAATAGTAACGGTATTAAATATTTTTCATGGATAAATCTACCAGCAACAAATGTTCTTGGTCTGGATAAGAATACATTTTGAGTGCCGACGTAGTTGTTAGTATGAATTTAGAAGGAATCTGTTCGACCCAATTGGCTGTCTTCCATAGAACTTTAACATTTAGTGTTGCATGTTCTCAACGAAAGTCTATGGACTCAAAAGTCCAAGTAAGAAGTTGATATCCTTTCTTTTGAGATGATGAATCAAAAACCACTTATAACAGAGGGAAAAGAATAAAGAAAAAAGCAAGAACCCTGCACAAAGCATATGGAAACTGAATCCCAGTCGACAAAGAATACATATTATGTAATTAATTTTAAGTATGTCGGCAAAGAATGTATCTAGCAGAATTTTGTACAGCAACAGTGAGTGTTATTTTCAATAAAATGCAAATTTTATTGCATATCAATCTAGACAGGGACGTACCCAGCTCAAAAAGATATTTGGTGGAATTTCCACAAATCATATCTACTCGTACATAACTATGTTTGATTTTATTCGCTCTATTTGCACCTCATTTATAAATATAGAGTCTTCCACCACGATTTGACAATTCTTATTGGATATGGAAAAGTACTAGGATTACTTTCTTGAAACATTCGAGCAAATATTGAGCGAGGTGCTTTTTTAAGTAATAATTTAGTCGTTGTTTGCAACACTAATGAGATAATATTATAAGAAAAATGTTTGCTAAACTGCATATTTTATATATCTATTTTTTGGGCGTACTTATCCCTCAAAATTCAAACAGGGTGCTTATTTTTTCAGCCATGTCAATAGGCCAGAAAATTTCTGTAATCGGGACAAACTTCAAATGGAAGAATAATTTTCAGTAGGCACATTTTTGTGGCATTCGTCAGGTAATCATTGGCCCTCTATTACAGACAGAAAAATATTTATAGTTTTTGTTAATCGGTCCGGTTGCAATAGAGCAATCATCAAAAAAAAACTATTGGGCCTTTTATAACTTACAAAGTGTCGCTAGATTTCGAAGAAATTTTGAAAGGTCTGTCTAGTTATACGACCAAAAAATCTATAACGTCCACCAAACTTTACTTTTTTTTTCGTATCTGATGATCCAAAAATTCCTTAGAGGCTATTCAAAATGGAGTCAAACTTCGTTGATATATTTTAAGACGTAGTTAAGAGTTAATTTGAATGATTCAAGGATTGTGAAATCTGTCAAAACTCGTTTTTCAAACTCCAATCATCCAGTCACTTTTGTATGACCCCAAACACAACACGACATGTGTAATTCAAAAATATGTGGAGTGGAATCTGCCAGCCAAATGTGAACCCGTTGTATCAGCGATTGTACAGAAAGACTTATATATTCTTTAGAATTAATGCAAAGGCCCCTCATCTCAAAATAAAAAATTCTGGGTAACTTGTTGAACAAACTTCAAAGTTGTAAGTCTGTAGAAGAATTGGGAAAGGGATGAAAATACCTTCAAATTGGGTATGTCCAGTTGGTTGAAAAAGCTAATTTGTTATTGCAAAAAAAAGCCTTCATCTTTTTTTGAATAGTGCATAAGAGTAAATATGAAATAGTAGCCAAAAAAGTTAAAGCCTCTGTAATAATAATATTTATTTACTCCTGAAACAAAATACAAACAATGAGTGAATAAATATGAAGGTACGGTGCATAGGAGGCATTGCCTATATAACATGGTCCATTGATGTTGCGATTAATACAATAATAATTGAAATATGAATAGAGATACAACTAATCAACGAATTATTTGATAACATTTACTATTAATTTGTATATATTTGTAGTGATTAACATCGAAAACAACTTAAAAAAATGCCCAAGCTATCCAGCGATGCAGCTGCTTGAACAAATTAGACATACTGGGTCAGTTTTTAGTATCTAACTGGACAATATCTCCATTACTATAAAACATAACCAAAATTATTTACAAAATTGTGGCATATACGCCTAATACTCCTAATGAAACATTGTACAACTCTTAGTATATTCTAATATGCCACTTGACACTGTCTTTGCCACTTTTCGATTTCTGCGGGGTGAAAGAAATAAAACAACGTATGTCCTAAGAATATTGGCACAAAATATTTATCGGATTTTTTTAATGAAGACATTTATTTAAACACTAACTAGTTAACGTAAATAACAACTCAATACTTAACTAAACCATACTATCGAATTATGTGGAGTGGCCCATTTTGCGCTACCAGAAGCAACTTTCTTCCAATGTCTCTCAAGAGGCCTAGACGGAATTCATATCAATTTATCTCAGTTTTTCGTAGATTCGCCGTCTTAATTAAAGTGAAGCAATTTGGAAAGGCAGTTATCAGTATAGGTCTGAATATTCAAAACTTCACCCCTCACTCTTCCCACAAAAGGTCGGGATACACCGCTAGGATAGGAATTGCGTAACATTGTCAGGGAATTCCTCTAGATTGTCCGTATAAAATCCGTTGTTTTCCTTCATTTCAGAATTTCTCAAAGTGAAATACTTTTAGTCATCTAAAATAATGATTTTTGCGCTTGTGAGTATTTGGGGCTCTTAAGTCTCTTTCGATATTTAAGACCGTTCCTTTTCAATTCCAACGATATCGTACTAGGCCTGTATTGACAAGTCAGTCTCCTTGTTGACATTCGAACCTGATTTGTTGCTCCTCTCACCAATCTCTCTGACCTCTGTGCAGTAAATGCACGTGGCCTTCCACTTTTTGGTTATGAGTAAAATATTTTCATTCTGAAATATTCGACAGGTCTCAGCTTTTTGTACTCGCCCAACCGACTTATAGATACTTTTTTCTTATTTCTAATTTATAACAACAAATGTTTCAAAAAAATTAGCATTCAGTTACATATTAAGTGCGATCTGCAAAATAAATTTGTTAACAAGCGAGATAGGAGAGAAATTAATGTCACACATGTTACCTATTGAGTTAAAATTGTTACAAATGATTGAAACCGGTGATTCAGTCAAAATATTAGTTCTATCACAATCACAATGAAACACTCTCGAATTTCTATCGTTACGCCGGCGCACCGTTAAGGAAATTTTACCTAACGAAAATTCACATATTATATTCTCAAGGACCAGTTTTTACAAAAAGTGCGCCTCGTTTTCAGAGAAAACAGAGAGAAAACAGAGAAAAGAGAAGTCGGCCTCATGAGCGGTGAACGGTATCCTTCACATTCAACATATTGTCTCCTATTGAAAAAAAAATGATAGAAGATTATCAGAGAATCCAAACAAACTCAGTTATTCTAATAGGATGCCAAAATCTATTCGATCAAGTGCCTTGCCCATGTCCAGAAAAACACAACATCAACCTGTCCCTTACTATCCAAAGTTTCGTAAATGATTTGTGTCAAGCAAGCGAGGCTAGTTACACATGATTTTTTATCGACGAAGCTATGCCGATCGGAATAATTTATTTTATTCTATTTCTCAGAAACTAGTCATAGACCTTTGGTCCCTTGTAAACTTTTGTTCAGGACGACGAGAAGTATATCATGCTGAATTTTTAAACAAATCAACTGGGACCCATTTTCCATATATTTTGCGAGATCATTTTGTAAATTCTTAACACATATTTGATGATATGGTTCACGGAAAGGTAAACTCATTTCTACGCTTGACGATTCTTTGTCCATCAGAATCGTATTCGGCCAGCGTCCTTGTAATAAGAGGAGACAAAATTTGCCCTTCAAAGTCCTGTATTACTTGATATCGTTTGCAAAAAATTTTCTCACCTCTGACTTTAACTTGCAGGGAAATTATTGCTTTAGCATCTCCGTGGCAGTTCTTGGCGTAAATGGTATACGTTCCAGTGAAGTCTAACTTGGCATCGGGAATCTCCAGCCGATACTCTGGACCATCTCCTACCAGGTTGAACTTAGACGCGTCTCTGTAGTAACCAGGCTGGAACAAAATAGATAAACGTCATATTTTAATGTTTCTGTTAAAAAAAAGAACACCCAGTAATAATGAACCTACGAGTACTATAAAGATTTTCTAGGTACATGTTTTTTACGGTACGACAGACAACGATCAGCTCTTCAACCATATCGATAAGCGCTTTTTGTGATATCGTCCGTCAAAAAATTATTGTTATAAGCTCCTTACTACTGGGTGTTTCTTTTTTCTCTGTCAGTATATTATCAGGATTTTTGTGAATCTGTGGCCTAGAGGAGAACGGCAGAACTGTCTGTTGAGGAAATATCCTGGATTGGTCCGATAGGTGTCCTTTGAAGTACACTGAGTATGGACAGTGTACTTGGTGAAAATGATTCTTTTATTCGATAAAAAAGGGACCACACATTCATTTTTCTCGGCATATAAATTAGCCGATAATCAGTTTGCAAGTGAGCGCACGCCGGTTTCAGAATTTAATAACCGCGATTTATAGGCATCTGTTGGATTTTTGTTTTTTGGAATCTCAATTCTGCCTTCAGCCATCGTCCACGATGTCCGATGGTCCGTTTTACGGTCGATTTACAGATTAATCTACCGGAAAACGACGATTAATTGCGGATAAGACGATTTATTCGCCTGCCTCATCCATAAAACATCGAAAACGCACCACACACACACTGAAATATTACGTTACTGCAACTTTTCGATCGAACTTCGCCCTTATGGAATTGTTTGGTGAAAATAATGCGCATACAAAAATCTGAAGCCCTCAATTTCGATTTAAACTTTATATTTCAGTCTTGTACTACTTTTGATAAAAAAGGTATTGAATCTTGTCAAAATCAACAAACCAACTTGTTTCTGTTTTTTGCTCTAATCATGTTTCGTTTAAAAAAAGTTGGTTACGCTATCGTAAGCCCCCTATTTTAAAAAATAAGCAGGAATCACTAAACTACAAGGAGTACTCAATACATTATAAACAAGACGGTTTTTTCTACAATGAAATGCGGATACACCAAAAACTCTACCTACAAGTATTATAGCAAAAAGTATTTGAACTTATTCTCCCAAGAACCTATATTTCTTGAATCTGGTATGTTTAGTGGTCATTCTTAGCCGTAAATGGAGTATTGAAGTAGATCTATTGGGTAAAAATGGTAAATTCTATAATGTTGTTATCGTCGACTTGAAATTCGACGGATTCAGAGCAAGGAGTGTCGCGAACAAATATCAGTTTGTATTGATGAAAGATAAGTCAACGACTGAATAATACGAATTGTATTGTATTATGGTGTAGACCAAATAAAACTGTTTAGCAGTGATAAGAAAAGTGTCAAAGAAACTTGGCATTTATGTCCTCGTAACCCATGATAGAACACAGTCTTGCGATTGTATTATTAATACATTTTGAAATTCAGACAAACTGCAATATGGCAAAACGAAGAAGTGGAGTCGCTTGAAATTGGAAAATTCTTCATGACGATCTTCATTTCCATCCTTACAAGATGGAAATTGTTGCGGCACTTTCTAAACCAATTCGCGGATTTACGCGTGTGAGCGTCTTCTCGAAGTCCTTCCTGAGGACGCTATTGTTTTTTTGGTGACGAATTCCATTTTCATTTGTGTGAATGCGTCATCAAACAAAATACGCTCTACTGGAGCTTACACCAATCCCCTAAAATTGCATCTAAGGCATTGGCATTCGCCTAAAGACATTGTGTGATGTGCAGTTTGTTCAGCTGGAACTCTTCGTGAAAAATGAACTCGCAGTTACGCTTATTCTAACCGACATGGGTATTATGTAAAGAACCTATAAAACGTCAAAAAAACTATAACATGTCATCTGCAGACTAGGTAGTTTTTAGGGTGCAAACAGTCATTCCAAGTTTCTCACTAGGACCGTTGTGGGCGTCCATCTATGGAAGAATGACTCAACTACACGCACTGTTGGTTGCATATGTTTTATGAAGCCGAGTAGTCTGTAGTTTTCATCGTTGAGAAAAAATTTGCTTAAATATCACGATGCGCATTGGTCTGCATACGAGGGATGTCTTTTAAGTTTTGCATATGGAAATAAAACAACACGATAGGTAGGTAGTTTTAAATGACTTTATTGTTTTTCGAAGTATTTTCCATGAAAATTAATATACATCTGCATGCGCTCGAACCAATTTTCGAAGCACTTATTCCACTCGTTTGCTGGCAGATCCAAAACGGCATTTTTGAATGCGTCAACTGCTTCTTTTGGTGGTATACCAATCCGCAGTAACAGTTCTTTGCTCATTAAGAGGAATTGTTGCAATATGACCCGCTTTTGACACAAATGTCGCGATCATCTTTTTCGAAACACTTTGAGAACGGATGACTTTTGTTGGCTTTTCTTCACCTTGAAACACCCAAACAGCCGACTGTCGTTTATTTTCTGGTTCATAACAGTAAATCCACGACTCATCACCACTAACAATGCTGTACACGTTTTTTGAGTTTCCGGAATTGAAACGGTCAAGCGTTTTTTGACACCAATTAACCCTGGTTGCTTTCTGCTCTTCAGTCAACAGGTGGGGTATCCAACGAGAAACTAATTTTCCTACTCCTAGTTCTTCATGTAAATTTTTTTGAATTGAGGTCTTTGAGATCTTCAAGGACGCCTCAATCTCGCGATATGTCACATGTCTATCTTCAATGATGAGTTTGCGCACAAAATCGACGTTTTCCTGGGTGACTGCCGTTTTTGGTGCACCCACCCTGGGATCGTCGCTAAGACTCACCCGTCCACGTTTAAATTCTCCATACCAACGGGAAATTGTCGACTGATGTGGCGCTTCGTTGCCGAAAATAGACAGTAACTCAGCAAGGCATTCTTGTTGCGATAATTGTCTCTGAAAGTTGTAATACATTATGGCGCGAAAATGTTCTCGGTTGAGTTCCATTTATCTAATGACTTGGCGACACTTAAAAATTCACTGTAGTGAGAACACTGCATGTATTGTTGTGAAACTTTGAATTTAAGTTTACTAAAGAGTGAGGTTAAGATTCAGTACTGACGTTCGATCAGCGCGGCCTACTACGTTTCTATATGCAAAACTTAAAAGACATCCCTCGTATATATAAAATAATGCTGCTAATAATGTATATCTATTAGCTGTGCCCGACGGGTAATTTATATATTGTCCTTTCCGAAGACAGGTTATGTTCGAATTGATAAATTACGAATTCTTACGGTCTTTTTTTTGTGTTTTCAAAAACTTTGAGGAGCATTACGGGAAATCACCACCGCGCCCTCGTTGTGGGTAATTACTGTTAGCATGACTTGTAATTCGACAGTGTACAGTGAATATAATTATTTCTTATCTCTCCCATTTCTTAAATTCAGCAAGTTTGCATATGTAATTTACAGAATGGATCAGAAAAAGCGGATGCGCAACTAATTTCTAGCTTTGAATCTCAGGTAAGTGTATTTGAGACAATAATTCAATGGAATTATCATCAACATATATTATTAGCACACAAATCCTCACTATGCACCTATGTACCTATGACATCCAGTAATGCCATCTCTGAAGCAAATTTTACATCACATCAGAACCAAACGTTGATAACTGAAGCATTATGACGTTAAGGCAACAAGTACAACTAAAAAACGGATTTACAAGTGTCTATCAACTGGAGCAAGTTAATATCTTGTACTCGTATAAAAACCTACATAATGTCACAAAAAACAAATACAATGTCAAAAAAAATCGACATAATGTCACTTTTCAAGATACGTAATACTCCTGCGGTATGTGAACATGTCAACTGATTTTTTCCACAGCTTGATGAGTTGGACCTGGTGATAATTGATTCCAATAAGGCACACACTTCAAAAGCATCGACAGCTGCTTTGAGGGTACACCCTGGAACACCTCATTCCAATTAGGGGCGATTTGGAGTGGCCGGCCCGCTCTCATGATTTTCCCCCTTGTGAGTTTTTCTATAGTGTCTGTGTTTTTTAAGATCCGGTGTTTATGTGAATCATTCAAGCATATTACAAGCTTTGAAGACCGGCATCCAGGGACAAAATAACAACATAATGCCTGCAATGCTGGCCAAAGCCATGACAAACGCCAGAAATCGGTTTACTCAGTGTATCAAGAATGGAGGACGTCAACTATCTAATTAGATCTTCAAAGCTATGTAGAACTAAACTTTAGGCATGCGTCTATATGATAAAAGCAAATAAAGATGTTCTGATTAATACAAGGGTTTTGAGAAAAGTTATGCTGACCCACCCTGTATGTTCAAAATTATATAGTACTATGACAATTAGTCAAGTAAAATAGCTATAGCTTGAAATGTACTTGTTTGACTTCCGTCTCTGTAACCTCGATCAACCGCAGACAGCGCTGTTTCGTGCTCGTTAACGGTATAGGTGTAGTAGTCCTGGAAACAGACAAACGAAAAGCAAACAAGTGGTAACAGAAACGGAAAGCAAACATGTCCATATTAGTTCGCTCTTAACGACCATTATTGGTCTGCTCTTGTGAATACTTAGGATTTCGTCTGCTAGATTGGTTGAAGAATATGGTGGTACAACCTATCTGTGTCTTTCGCAGAACGTCGAACAGTTATGGCTCTCCTTTAATCTTCAACGTATAGGGTGAGGATGAAGATCAGCGTAGCAAACCATTGGTAGATGGAGATAATCAGATTTCTCACCTACTTACACACATTATACAGACAGGATATGTTGGATTCTGTTTCCATCGAATTGGTCAACTGTATGTATGAGGTGAAGCTCATGGCATTACTAAATCCACATTTACTACGGCCGTTAAAGAAATAACTTTGGACAAGTACAAGTCGGCTTGTTACAAAACAAACAGCAATTATGGCTACTTATATGCTCGGACATTTCGTTATTAATGGTTCTGAGATCGCTATCAAATATTCAAATGATTCTGCGTGGAGCATGTTGTTAGCGGCGATGTTTGTCATTGCAAGGAGTTACAGCGCAACGATCTGTGAC